ATCTTCTTTCTGCTGTTGGACATTTAGACTATTTCCATGTCTTGGCTATTGTAAATAATGCTGCTATGAACACTGGGGTGCAGGTGTCATCCTGAAGTAGGGTTTCTTCTGGATATGTGCCCAGGAGCAGCAACATGGATGCTCCTGGAGAATGTCATTCTAAGTGAAGTAAGCCAGAAAGAGAAAGGAAAATACCATATGAGATCACTCATATGTGGAATCTAAAAAAAAAAAAAAAAAAAAAAACCCAAACAAAGCATAAATACAAAACAGAAATAGACTCACAGACATAGAATACAAACTTGTGGTTGCCAAGGGGGCGAGGAGTGGGAAGAGATAGATTGGGATTTCATAACTGTAGAATAGATAAACAAGATTATACTGTATAGCACAGGGAAATATATATAAGATCTTATGGTAGCTCACAGAGAAAAAAATGTGACAGTGAATATATATATGTTTATGTACAACTGAAAAATTGTGCTGTATACTGGAATTGTACACAACATTGTAAAATGATTATAAATCAATAAAAATGTTAAAAAAAATAACACCACGAGGAATAATAGTTTTGGAATTAGGAGGTTGGCGAGGCAGCAATGAGTCTCCTTCCCACTGCAGCTCGTGGTCTGCCCTGCCCCAGTGTCTGTGGTATCCAACACCCAGACGGCAGCCACGTCCACCAGAACTTCCTGCCCTTTGGTGGTTTGGAACTGGCTCCAAACACTACTGCCAAGTGATAAGTCAGTGGGCTTTCCGCCTGCCTGTCCCATTCTGGTCTTGGGAGATCTATTTCCTTTTGTTCTAGGTCATGTCTGGGTGTCAAAAGCTGCAGCTTCAATCCTGAGTGTAATACAAGTTTGCCATAAAAATACAAGAGAGGATTCCCGAAGCCCCAGAATGAAGGCTTTTACAATATCAATTCAACCCTTGTAAATTTAATCCAGGGTTATTTGTTGCACCAAAATCTCTTTACTGTGATGTATGACTTAGTTACCGGGGTTATCACAGCCGTATCCTAAAGTTGCATAGTACATAAAACATTTCAGTTAACAATGCGGGAAGGTTAACTCCCCCAGATAACCTGCAGTCACAAGGGCTAGTCCAGATGACATGCCTCTGTCAGCCTCCACGAGCTATTGATGGTTCAATCAGTTTGTTTTGAAGGTAAAGTACAACAAAAGGGCAGTAAACTTATTCAGACTGTCAACAGGGGCTATCGGGAATGGGGCTTGCAGGTAAGTAATTCTGGGTGTTTTAAGGCTATTATCAAACAGCAATGGTTGAAGGAAGAGACAGCTACTAATAACACAGAAGGCAGCCATCATAAACCACTTTATGGCAGAAACCCCCGTCTATAAATCCTGCGACACCCGGAGACAGCTTCAGATTTATAAAACTGCTTGTTAAGCCAGGGCACTGCTTAATGAAAAGAGATCCGTCTACGTTCTAAGTCTCACGTCCCCAGCTCCAGAGGGCAACGCCAATTTTCCTGACCTTCCCAAGGCATCTGGGCAAAAGCCCCAGGGCCAGGGGTGGGGAGTGGAAATCAGGGATGCTCTAGGCTGTGCTGCGGAAGGTGAGCTTATCCAGAGGAGACCAGGGACCCTGGGAAGGTGTTAAAAGGCCCATCTGTCTCTGTCTGCAAACAGATTCTCTAACAGCGAGACCCACACACGGAGCTTTTCAGGTCTTCTCTCTTCATATAGAATGCTCCATTTTCTTAAAGAACTTCCCTAAGGAGACACCTAAAGCTGCTA